AAAAATAACTAATAGAGCTATTAATTTACTATAAAGAAAGTCATTTATTCCATATTTATGTAATAAGTTTTTTCCAACAATAACTTATAAAAATTCATATTCATCCACTCTTATTTATCACATAGAAGATAACAAGAAACGATCATTTTATATTTTTTCCTGCTTACAAGTACCTCTGGGGTCCATAGGGATATCATCCTACTCGTAAACCTAATATCCAATTAAACAGTTAACCAGCCGTCCCCATATCTCGTCCTGTATGGGTGTAAAACATACCACCACCTTGATACCCCATATTGTATGAGGGTGAATCATATCTCCCAAACCTTACTAGTAAGGGACTTCCCAGCCCTGTTCGAGTGAGGTAATATTCATAGTAGAGTTTCTTATGTACCAGGTCCGTTCGCCCTTTCCCGGGTACCTAGTAAGTCTTTCTTATACAGATTTCCATCAGCATAACAATCAACCATGTAATAACCATATTTCATTTAATACTCACTGTTTACTTAAATAACAATATACTTTAATACAGCTAAATAACCAATGACCAGAATACCGACACACAATACAGGGGAAATAAATAATAAAATAACCAAAAAAACCCTAAAAACTATCAATTGAGTTATGCATAGTATAACAGTAAAAAAATATAGGCAATATAGAAAAATAAACAAAAAATCAAAATGACTGTGAACTAACCGGTTCTCGCTCAACTAGTGACATGTAATTATTTTTAAGGTTCTTTAATTTTTCACAAAAAATACACAATTATTATTTATTAAGCTTCAATTTGCTGTAACGGAGAAAAGAGTGAGGAATTCTTACCCAGATCGGTGTTTCGGGATGTCGCGCTGTCTACTACACTTTCTAAAGGGTACCGGATTTCCTGAATTATTTCTCAGAATCCAAAACACTTGTTACGTACCTAAAAATTCTATAGGAATCCAAAATCAGTGTCTAAAATTTATTTCGACCAATTTTGGGGTCCTGACACGGTGGTGGTTCGCCTCAGCCTAGTCGTTTTTTGCCACTTTTGGCCGGTTTTTGGACGATTTTGGCCGTATCCCTGCAGAAAAACATGTGAGGGACCTTAGTTGACTGAAAAATCGTATAAAATCGAACTCACCAGCGGGCAGGGGGGAGGGACCTCCTGGTGCGACAGCTCCGCCAGTTCTCCTTCGCGGCTGAGATTTTTTCTTCGGTCAACTTGCACATAAAAAAGGTAGTGAACATAATGGTCAAAAAATCACGTGAAACGAGAATTGGAAAGAGGCTCATCAGAGAGGTTTTGGGACTTTGATTGTGGTGGCTTTGCCGAGTTTCACCACGATTTTTGGCTCACCTGCCGTCTCTTTTGCTTTGATTTGGTCATGAGGATGTTTGGAATCAAATTCCAAGTGAGTAACAGAATTTTTACCTTTTTTGACGGTTGGAGGTGGCTCCGGTGTGGTGGCGGTCGACTCCCTTCTCCAGCAACTGGTTCTTCTTCTCCAGCGGGAGGTTGACGACTAGGGTTCGGATTTAATGTGATGCGAAATATTTATACTCACATCACGTTAATCTGGTATATTCATCGTATTTGATCTTGACCATTCGATTGCGCCTAATGAAGAAACGAATTTAGGATGTTCATCGTGATTTAATTTTGACCGTCCGATCGTATTTAAAGAGGAAATGAATCTGGATCATTTATCGCAATTTGATCTCGACCGTCTATGTGTACGGGATCAATCCTGGACCGTTCGATCGCAGGGCACGCGAATCGCCTGCTTGACATCCCTCGTCGCACCGATGTCAGCGTGCCTTATCACGCGACGTGTTCTGGTTCGTCGGAGTTGCTAACTGGGCGGTCTTAGGTAATCAATTTTTTTTATTTGCACTATAACCCCCCACTTTCTGATTTTTTTTTAAAAAACACCTATCGAATCCAACTTTTCACATTTTTTTTAAAATTATTTTCAATTTCATCCATATCTTATTTTGTTTTCATAAATTTAACAAAAATTAAAATAAATTAATTTAAAAATAAATTTTTTATATATTTAAACTATTAAAATTGATTCTAGACTAAATTCTGAACTCAAGTATTACATATATAAATAAATTAAATTAACACTCTCATTATATTATAAATTAATCATGTTATACACAAAATTAGGAGCTATATATATGTATGTTACACGCCTTCCTTATAAACTTTTGACATAATTTTCATTTTAAAAATATGTCATAACTCCTGATGCCAGCTAATCATTTTTAAATTCCAAAATAGAACCTCATTTGGTCAATTTTTAATGTGAAAGTCAAAAGCGTGAAATTAGTTTTTTAAAAATAAAAAATTTCAGACAATATTTTTTAAATAATTTTTTAATACACATAAAATTCTCGTTTGGTTAAATGCCAGCTAATCATTTTTTAATTTAACGTTAATCACGAGAGTCAAAAGTTTAAAAATAATATATATATTTTTTTTAAAAAAGTAAATTAGTTAAATGCATTGTCAACATTTTATTTTGTTTAATAAAATGTTAACGTTCTTAATCATGTCTAATTTGTGTTTTCACTTAATTATTGGTCAAATTTTTTTTATACCTAATGACACGTTATATTAATAAAAATAAACATGTGTTATGTTTATTATCAGCCAAATTTATTTCATATTTACTATAACAAATAATTTATGCAAACTTATTGATTTATATTGTTGAATACAGAAATTAAAAAAGTTCAATATGTATATACTTAAAGAAATTCACATTATATATAAAATGCTTCAATAATTTCCTGGTAATTAATATTTTTTAAGCTATCTTTTTTTATATAATAATTAAATAAGTGCTCATTCCTAGACTTACTAGGAATCGGGACGTCATCAAACTCATAATTTGGCTATGAAAGGATGCGATACATGAGTTGGGCCATAACTCTCGTAAAGAATTGGATAGTTCAAAAAGCATGACTAATTTATTTTAAATTATATTATAATATTTTTATATTAAATTTTATTATTGGAAGACACCCAATAAAATTTATTTAACTTAATAATTTTTTTAAAAATAAAATGTGTACTCTTTAGACTAAATCGTAATAATAGTTGATTTTTAATAAATTAGATATTATTTAATTAATTTTTTAAAATAATATTTTTTATATATGATTAAATTAATCAACAATATAAATAAAAATAAATAATTTTTTACAGGTAGTTAATTTAGCACAAGCCTCTTTTTTATTAAAAAATACAAATTTTGAATTCTCTATAACAAATTTGATTAAAAAATTAACTGGTATTTATTTTATTTAAAAATATAATAAATTAATTAAATATTTTGTTAATTTATCAGCATTTCAGAAAGTAAAAACAAAAAATAGGTAGGTAGACTAAATCTGAAAGCAACAGAAGCCAAAATGTGAAAATAAAAATAAAAATTAGATAAAATAACGAAAATAGATTGACGAAGATAAATCGAAAACTGAAAACCAAAATGGGGAACACATTCCAATCTTTTCTTACGCGTCTCTGTCGATTCACATTGTCAACGTCAGTTTTCAATCTTGTTATAGCTACGCAATCAAAGCTGATCTTCACTAAGCTAAAGCTTTTTTATAAAAAAAACTGACTCCGCCATTTTTATCAGTCAACAAAGAATCTTAGATAATTCCTGTATTAATGGATATTTATATCTAGTCTAGTCTTTGATCTGTGCTTACAGCTACACAAGCTCGCATATTTAGTATACGATAAAGTTTGAACCCGAGTTACAGGTTGAGAAACTGCGAGAGAGAAGGAGATGGGTAGTTACCGAATGTGCCTCTTATTCAAGCGGAAGTTCAGGGTGACGGAAGCGGGGCCGCCGGAGGACGTCAAAAGTATTTTCAGGCGGTACGCAGACGGAGGGACCCAACTGGGGGCGGAGCAACTGCGGCAGTTTCTAGTTGATGTTCAAGGGGGAGGCAGCGAAACGTCGCTGTCAGATGCGGAGAGGATCGTGGAGGAGGTTCTGAGGAGGAGGCATCCCATTGCCAAATTCACCAGAAACACTCTTACTCTCGATGACTTCCATTATTACTTGTTTTCTGCCGATCTCAATCCTGCTATCAATGATCGGGTGGGTACTCATCCTTCTTTCTCTCTCTTCTTTTTTTTTTTTTTTTTCCAATTTCTCTCTGGTTCTTTGTTGTATGGTTGCTGAGAAAATGAGGACGAGAAGTGGCAATTTGGACGCTGGATTTACTTGTTAATATCATTTATTTGTTTGCTTGAGTTCATCATCCACCCTACGTTAGAAACTGAAACTTCGGTATTTAATATAATAGCGGATAAATTAGCATAAAAAGATGTTAGTTGTCTTCTTAAATTGCTGTTGTATTGGTGTTACTATAAGTTCCTTCGTTTTCTGGATCTGAATTTTTAAAATTAGGATGTTTCAGTTATAAATTCAAAGTATGTTTGAACAAGAACTTATTTGGAAGCGGTAGTTTCATGAAGTCATTTCCATTTAGCTTAGTTTAAATTTTATTAATTTTGATAGGGTTTAAGAGAAAAATATCCCAATACTGCTTAGAATTTATTTATAATTGAATTTTTAAATTTTCAAACGAGTTCCATAAACATAAATCTTTTGCATAAACATTGATCTTTTGTTATGAACATTCTGGAACAAGCATTCAACGGATTGATAACATTTGAGAATTAATACTTGATTTTCTTCATTGGTTGGCTGCTGTCTGTGGATTCATCAATACTTGAATAATTGTTGTTTCTGTAGATAGGATATACACACACACATATTTACTCTTGGCATGGAGTTTGCTATTCAAGATGGGGTTATTTATATGTTGTTTTTGGTTAACGATAGAAAGATGATTCTGGTTTTACTTTTTTCCATTTCGTCTACACTCGTTGAGCCATGCTAGATATCTAACTACATCTTACATACAGGTCCACCATGACATGAATGCTCCTTTGTCTCACTATTTTGTATATACTGGGCACAATTCATATTTGACAGGAAACCAGCTCACTAGTGATAGCAGTGATGTTCCGATAATAAAGGCGTTGCAGAGAGGGGTGAGAGTAGTCGAACTTGATATATGGCCAAATTCTGCAAATGATGATGTGATAGTTTACCATGGAAGGTAATCTTTTTTAAGCTCAGTTTTTTTGGATGAAAAGGAATAGGTTTTTGTTTTTATTTTTTTCCTCGTATGGACAAAAGGAATAGCTTCGAAATTAAGGCCATTGGCTTAGATAAAAATATAGAGTATCTACAACTGTTTTTAGCTTCAATTAAATTGGAGGGTGTGATTATTGTAGTGCTTTGCTTGATGCTAATAGAGTCAAGCTGGTGCTTTTCATATTTAGAGATATCTCATTGCAAAATCTTTTTGTGATCTCCTTTCAATTTTTTTTTGTTATCCTCCCTGAGCCGTCCTTGATATGTGTTCTGATCTAGGACCTTGACATCTCCAGTGGACCTCATCATATGTTTGCGATCAATTAAAAAGTATGCTTTTTCTGCATCACCATATCCTCTCATAATCACTCTTGAAGACCATCTTACACCATATCTCCAAGCTAAAGTTGCAAAGGTTCTTTTTCTCCTGTAATTCTAGCCACTTATCTTACTTATGACTATATTTTACTGATTAGGAAATTATACTCCTGTAGATGCTTATTCAAACGTTTGAAGGTACACTATTTTACCCTGAATCTGAATCATTAGAAGAGTTCCCTTCCCCAGAAAAGCTAAAGCACCGGATTATAATTTCAACTAAACCTCCAAAAGAGTACCTTGAAGCTAATGGTAAAAACAAAAGAAGTAATTTGGAGAAGGAAAAGGATTCTGATGATGATGCATGGGGAAAGGAGGCAGAAGATACAGCTGAAGAAGAAGATGACGAGAAGGTTAGCTGTGAACTGAAATGAATTACATACTGACTATGTATTTAACCTAAATTTTGCATTTATCCTAAGGTGGTTACTTGAAATCTTGTTCTACTGGCTTACAGAGTGATAGCGATGCAAGTGCAATCAATCAGGATTATGATGTTATGAGCTGTGATCCTGAATCATGCCAACTGGCTGCACCTGAATACAAACATCTGATTGCCATTCATGCAGGAAAACCCAAGAATGGCTTGAAAGAGGCGCTTAAAGTCGAACCTGGTAAAGTTAGACGTCTTAGTCTGAGTGAACAAGCACTTGAAAAGGCTGCTGAATCAAATGGTACAGATGTTGTGAGGTAGTTTTTCATATTAATTTTTATTTCGGGGTTTCTGACATTATATGCTCAGCATCTACATTCTTGAGATTTTCTTCTACTTCTTTCCTTTTATGGAACCGGATAGTAGTTATCAGGTTTGAGACTTTCCACAAAATTTTAAATATGATTTATTATCTGAAACATTCAGATTTACTCAGAAGAACTTTTTGAGGATATACCCCAAAGGTACTCGGTTTAATTCCTCTAACTACAACCCACTAATTGGTTGGATGCATGGAGCTCAAATGGTTGCATTTAACATGCAGGTTTTGTCTCTACCTTCACTTTTTTTAATATTTTTTTTTCATTTTTGAGTTTACTAGGTCAAGAAATCATATATTCTACATCAGAGCTCCACGCTCATTGCATACGGTTTAGCATTTATGCTTCAGAAAAATTTCTCTGTCCTTTCTGATCTGCTAAAATTTTAAGATCTTATTACCATATTGAAATAAGGTTGTAGGGTTTTCAGACAATGAATTTAGCGTTGATATACACCTTAGAGATCTCAGTATTTTATAGCTTTGGTTGCTTTCTAATAAGGATGCTGGAGATGCTGATCTTCATTTGTTCTATCAATCCAACTGAATCTTCTTCAAAAGCTAAAAAGCTATATTTGACCTCAGAATAGCCATTCTTAGTATTATTCTCGTCTGCCAAGGATCAAGTCAAGTCCTGGATCTTAAGCTAGAAGTTTCCAGTTTCCCACCTAGAACTTAGGCAGTATTTGGGACAAATCCAGAATTTTGTCCAGTTCGTTTGTAAATCCACACTTAGTTTAACTAGAAGATGGTAAAAATTCTCACTGAAACAATAATTGGTAGGTGAAATTTGGAGTTAATTGCTTCCAATATATGTAGAATTTCCAAATTATGCCATTTTTTATCATCTTGTAGTTGGACTTGGTTTTGCAAATGAATTCCACAAATTCAATAGATATTTTCTCCAGCTAACCTTAAGGTTGCTACTGTATGCAGAATGTTATTCACCAGTTAAGAAAGTCTAATAAAATGCAAGAAACTTTATAAGACTAAACAAAGGAAACAAAGGAACTGGAAATTTGGAAGGGGATCATTGGTAAGCTTGAACTTGCTTCTTCATTTATTGCTTGCAGATTTTGAATAGACAAGCAAAGTAATCTATTGATGGTAAACTAGAAGAAATGGCAGGAAGAAGGAAGTTATCCAAATTTGTAATGTTAATTTTGGCTTAGATAGCTTCTTCTTCTTCTTTTTCTTCTTTCATTTTTTTAAAAAAAAAGCGACATAGACTTATTATCTACAAGGCACCAAGGAGGTGCCATCTTTAACTTTGAATTGAATGTTAATTAGTTTACATGCATTACAATAATTTTTTTATTTCCAAATATCAACAAGTTTAAGTCCAATGGCAGGGATATGGTAAATACCTCTGGATGATGCATGGAATGTTCAAATCAAATGGGGGGTGCGGCTATGTGAAAAAGCCTGATTTTCTAATGAATGTTGGCCCACATGGTGAAGTTTTTAATCCTAGAGCAAAATTGTCTGTGAAAAAAACTTTAAAGGTGAATATTTTGAAGTTAAATTTGTTCTGCCTCCCAACTTCTTTTATTTAATATCTTATTTGTTATTTAACAGGTGAAAGTCTATATGGGAGATGGTTGGCATTTAGATTTTAAAAAGACACACTTTGATACGTATTCTCCTCCGGATTTCTATACTAGGGTAAGTTGACATTCATTACACAGGACTTTATTTTTCCCCCAGAAACCCTCTGGTCTTATTTCAAGATTTTTGCATTTAAAAGCCAAGCCTCAGCTTGCTGCTCAAGAATGAAATTGTTTTAAACACTTGGTGACTTGATCTTTAATTTGTTTTGCAGATCGGCATAGCAGGTGTACCTGCTGACAAGGTAATGAAGAAAACAAAAACGAAACTGGATCAGTGGACTCCTGTTTGGAATGAAGAGTTCACATTTCCATTGACTGTTCCTGAATTGGCCTTGCTTCGGATTGAGGTCCATGAATATGACATGCATGAGAAGGATGATTTCGGTGGCCAAACTTGTTTGCCAGTCTCTGAATTGAAGACGGGAATTCGTGCAGTTCCACTCTATGACCGTAAGGGAGTTATGCTCAAATCAGTGAGGCTTCTTATGCACTTTGAATTTGTGCACTAGGAGTAGCTTTTGTGATGTAGGGACACTTCAGATGATTTTTTTTTTTTTGTAACTTGTTCAGGTGTCCATTTGCTGGCTTATATTCAATCTTGGCTGCTGTTTTTTTTTTTTTTTCTCTTAAATTCTTTCTACTGTTTTCTTGCGAAGAGGTTACTTTTAGACATGAAAAGAAAGCGCGAAGCAGGGATTCGTTTGTCCTTGTTTCATGCTCCCTTGGTATTATTTGCTTTATAAAATTACGTAATTGGGACAATTATTAAGATGGGAATTTCCAGCATTCCGCCAAATAATGTTGCAGTCAACTCCGGGAGTAGAGGCGTGTCAGGCATAAAGCTGTAACACAGTTCTTGATCATTGAGGGTTCCATGGTGATGAAGGAGGTGTACAAGGCACGAGGCATAGAGAAAATAAAGCAAGTTTTGAGGAGGAATCGCAGATTTAAATTCGTTAGGCCTACATTGCAGAAAGCAGAGAAATAATAAATATTCTGGATACTTTTAAAAAATATATATATATATTTAAACCAAGAGTTAGTACTTATCCATTAATACATATACAGTAAAATTTTTGCATTTACTACCTTTAATTAGGAATCAGAAATCAACCCTTCTGTATATTCAACATCTGCCATCTACTCATTTAATTAACCATCTGAATAAGAAATTATTTGTGAAAAGATAAAAAGAGTAACTGAAAAACATTAAAAGGGTTTTACGAAGACAGTGGATCATGGATGGGGCAAAGTTTAAACTAAAAGTTTTTCAAGTCATTTCAATTATTTATTTAATTTTTAGGAGGAATTTAATATTCACATTTCCCTACCAATTTAGCACGTCATGTTAAATTATGTATCATGAATTTAATGACAGCTATGTCGCAAGAGGGAGACTTCGAAGTCAAGTGGTTCTGCTGACGTGGATATTTATTATTTTTAACAGATTTATTAATAAGAAAAAAAAAAAAAAAAAAAAACAATGAAATGTACAGAGACTCATTGAAAATATGAAGAAAATGTGGAATGAAGCTTCCTATTTATTTATTTATGTTTTTTAAGGGCCAGTTCTGCAGTGAGCGAGTGCAAGACAGAGACAGAGGCCCCATCTGCTATGTGCTTTGACTTCTTCTGCATAATTCATCCACCTGCAAGAAAGATAACTGGATTAATCTCTAATTGCCCGCAAACCCTAATCTGTCGGGCAGTGAACCTGAGTGACTTCACCGGAAAAAAGTTGCAGAAGCACATGGCGTGAGAGACAGAGATGGAGGCAAGCTATAGAACAAGGGGCTGGTTCAGAAGTAAACTCCGAGTGACAGAAGCAGGCCCACCGGAGGGAGTGAAGGAGGCTTTTGAGAGGTATGCTCAAGGTGGGACCGAGATGAGTGTCGAGCAGCTGCGGCGGTTTATGGTGGAGTTCCAAGAGGAAGGCGGCACAACGCTGGCCGAAGCCAAGAGGATCGTCGAGGCCGTCCTGCTGAGGGGGCATCGCCACATTCCTAACTTCACAAGGAAAACTCAGAACAACACTCTGACTCTCGATGACTTCCATCATTACTTGTTCTCTGCCAGTCTCAATCCTCCCATTGGTAATCAGGCGAGTACTTGTTTTGTCTTGGATTTTTCTCTTTGGTTTCTGAGAAATATGGAGGAAAAATAAAATGAAAGGTCGAGGAGTGTTTGTTAATGTTTATCATTAGTTTTAAATCTGAGGAACTTCGTGATTTTGATGCTAGTGGAGAAATTGGCATGAGAAAGATAATGTTTGTATTTCTAAATTACCATGATCTAGCACCAAATCAGAAAGCTGAGATGGTTTTACGTTGTTACATTTCGTCTACAGTCATCGAGCCATGCTAGGTATCTAACTATATCTCACATACAGGTCGACCATGACATGAATGCTCCTTTGTCTCACTATTTTGTATATACCGGGCACAATTCATATTTGACAGGAAACGAGCTCACTAGCGATACCAGTGATGTTCCGATAATAAAGGCGCTGCAGAGGGGTGTGAGAGTCATTGAACTTGATATATGGCCAAATTCTGTAAAAGACGATGTGCTAGTTTTCCATGAAAGGTGATCGTTTTTTGAACTCCATTTTTTGGATGGAAAGGAATAGCTTTGCTCTTTTTTTTTTCCCCGTATGGAGAAAGGGAATACCTTAGAAATTAAGGCCATTGGCTTAGAGATCTACAGTTGTTTTTACCTTCCAATTGATTATTGTTTAGGGCTTTGCTTGTTGCTTGCTTATAGGGTCGAGCTAGTACTTTTCATATTTAGAGAAATCTCATTGCAAGATCTTTTTGTGGTTTCCTTTCAATTTCTTTTATCCTCCCTGAGCAATCCTTGATCTGTGTTTCTTATCTAGAACCTTGACATCTCCAGTGGAGCTCGTTACATGTTTGAGGTCAATTAAAAAGTATGCTTTTTCTAAATCACCATATCCTGTCATAATTGTTCTTGAAGACCATCTTGACCCACATCTCCAAGCTAAAGTTGCGAAGGTTCTTTTTCTCCCATGAAGTTCTAACCACTAATCTTACTTATGACTATATTTTACTGATTAGGAAATTATACTCCTGTAGATGCTTATTCAAACGTTTGAAGGTACACTATTTTACCCTGAATCTGAATCGTTAGAAGAGTTCCCTTCCCCAGAAAAGCTAAAGCACCGGATTATAATTTCAACTAAACCTCCAAAAGAGTACCTTGAAGCTAATCGTAAAAACAGAAGAAGTAACTCGGAGAAGGAAAATGATTCTGATGATGATGCACGGGGAAAGGAGGCAGAAGAGACAGCTGATGAAAAAGATGACGAGAAGGTTAGCTTTGAACTGAAATGAATTACATAATGGCTATGTATTTAACCTAAATTTTATGCGTGTATTCTAAGGTGGTCACTTGAAATCTTGTTCTACTGGTTTACAGAATGATAGTGATGCAAGTGCAATCAATCAGGATTATGATGTCATGAGCTGTGATCCTGAATCATGCCAACTGGCTGCACCTGAATACAAACGTCTGATTGCCATTCATGCAGGAAAACCCAAGAATGGCTTGAAAGAGGCACTTAAAGTCGAACCTGGTAAAGTTAGACGTCTTAGTCTGAGTGAACAAGCACTTGAAAAGGCTGCTGAATCAAATGGTACAGATGTTGTAAGGTAGTGCTTCATGTTAATTTTCATTTGGGGTTTCTGACCTCGTATGCTCAGCATACCCATTCTTGAGATTTTCTTCCGCTTCCTTCTTTTATGAAACCGGATGTTTGTTATTTGGTTTGAAACTTTCCGCAAATTTTGAATACGAATTATTATCTGAAACATTCAGATTCACTCAGAAAAACTTTTTGAGGATATACCCCAAAAGTACTCAGCGTAAGTCGCTCAACTACAACCCACTAAATTGGTTGGACGCATGGATCTCAAATGGTTGCATTTATCATGCAGGTTTTGTCTCTACTTCACTTTATTATTATTATTATTATTATTTTTTATTTTTGAGCTTACTATGTCCAGAAATTATGTATTCTACGTCAGAGCTATATGCTCATTGCATATGGTTTCGCATTTATGCTTCAGAAAAATTTCTGTCCTTTCTGGTCTTCTAAAATTTTAAGATATTATTATCATATTGGAATAGTAGTTGTAGGGTTTTCAGACAGTGATTTAGTGCTGATATACATCTTAGAGATCTCAGTATTTTATAACTGTAGTTGCTTTTCTAAAAAGGATGCTGGAGATGCTGATCTTGATTTGGTCTATCAATCTAACTGAATCTTCTTCAAAAGCTAAAGAGCTCTCTATTGACCTCAAAATAGCCATCCTTAGCATAATTCTCGTCTGCCAAGGATCAACTCAGATCCTGGATCTTAAATTAGAAGTTTCCAGTTTCCTACCAAGAACTTAGGCAGTATTTGGGACAAATCCAGAATTTTGTCCTCTTCGTTTGTAAATCCACACTTAGTTTAACTAGAAGACGGTAACACTGAAACAATAATTGCTGGATGAAATTTGGAGTGAATTGGTTCCAATTTATGTAGATTTCCAAATTACGCCAATTTTTATCATGTTGTAGTTGGACTTGGTTTTGCAAATAAATTCCACGAATTCAATAGATTTGTTCCCCCACCTAGCCTTAAGGTTGCTACTATGAGCAGAATGTTATTCACCGATTAAGAAAGCCTAATAATATAACGATCCGGAAAATCTAAAAGGAAATAGATAATAACTTAAGTGCGCAAGTAAAATAAAAGGTTAAAATTTACATTTCTTACACAATAACTCAAAAGTACTAAACAGGATTATGAAATTCATTTTTTGAAAAAAACACAAGAAATAAGGAAACTAACGGAAAATAAAAAATATTTAGCATCTATTCGTAATCTTCTTGCGGATCGGATTTTGGAATCTGGTTCTTTTGATCTGAAATGGTTAAATAAAGAATGAGTTACACTAGTTCAGTAAGAATATCACACTATATTATCGACACAAAAGTAAAGGTTGGTATAAAATCGAAAACCACTAATGGAGTATTAAATTTAGTAAATTCATTTATCAATCATAAAATCATTTTTCGTTCACTTAACATAGTGGAATTTATGGAAATAATCTGTAAGAACAATAATATCATACAGACCAATATTTCATGTATAATCAGTCATCATAGTATATATTATAAATTCATATCCATTATCAATAAACCAAATAATAACTATTACTCTTTTCACCAACCTGCTGGTATCTATATAAGTTTATAGGGATGTTCCAGCTACACATGAACCCTTTCATTTATCATTCTCAATTATGGGCTGTCCTCATACCTCGTCCGGTATGAGTGTTAATTTATCAAAGTTCAATACCCTGTCCGGTATGAGGATGAAGCGGGTCATCCCCATACATTTTCCGGTATGAGCGCCAAATTATCAAGTCTCTATACCCCGTCCGGTATGGAGACAACGTTCACGGTAGGGTTCTTTATGTATCCTGTCCGTCCACCATCTCTCAGGATATCTAGTAAGACTGCATTTTCATTTAATCATTTAATCACACCATTTCTTTAACGTTTAAATTTCATTTTTTTCAATTCAACGGTAAACACATGAAATAAACCATGCATGCGTTCAAAGCTATAAAATAAATAAATAAGATATCATCATGCAGGTAAACTGTAAAAACAATTAACAACAACAATAGATAATTTTCAGTTCCGATTCCATTAACAACTCGTAATTAATTATGCATGTTTATTAAAATTACACAAAATACCATATTATTATTTATTTAAATTTCAGTTCTATGATAGAGAATAGAGTGAGGGATCCTTACTCGATTTGACGTCCGAAAAGATAAACTGTTTACTGTGCCTACAGGCGGTCCTTGGTTTTCTTGAATTTTTCTACGGGAACTGAAACGCGCTAATAGTACCTACAAATATTCAAAATAAACCCAAAATCAGTCCCAGGACCTACTCGACCAATTTCGGAATTCCGACACGGCAGTCTGCCTCGGGTTAGCCACTTTCGGCCGATTTTGTATCGATCCCTGTGAGAAAACATGTTAAAGGGGTTCGGTTGGCCGAAAAAATATGAAAAACCGAAATTCACTGGCGGCGGGGCTCTTCGGTGCGGCGGCTCCTCCGGCTCACGTTGTGGTTTGGTGTTTTGCTTCAGTCAACCTGTAGAAAAGAAAACGGTGATTACAACGGTGAAAAAATTATACGAAACAAGAATCGAGAAGGGGTTCATCGGAGGCGTTTTGTGAAATTTTCCGCGGCGGTGAGTTTCGCCAGTGTTTTTCGGCCAATTAGTCGGTCTTTTTGCTCCAATTTGGCCATGGGTGAGTTTAAAATTGAATTATGTGCAAATGGGAAAATTTTTACATTTTTTGGCGGTTGGAAAGGGTTCCGGTGCAGCGGCGAATGGCGGCGGTCAGCTCCCCGACGGCTGGGTTGTCTTCTCTGACGAGGGGTTCTGGCAGCTAGGGTTAGGGTTTGGTGCGGATGGGGGTTATATATATTCATCCGTTTTTTATCTGGTTTGTCCATCGCGTTTGATATGAACCGTCCGATCGCGATTAAATAAGAAGTGAATCTGAGCCGTTCATCGCGATCCAATCTGGACCGTCCATCACGATTTACTATGGGTTGTCCAATCGTGTTTGAATCTAGCTGTTCGATCGTGTTTGGGAGGGAGTGCCTCCAGGCCGTCCGTGCGTGCAGGAACGGACCTTACTTGTTCGATCGCGGGCACGCGGATCGCCTACGTGGCCTCCCACGTCAGCATATCTACCACTTGGCGCGTCTTGGTTGGTTAGGGCTGCTGACCAGGCGTTTGACGTGACATAACTTTCTAAAATTGTAATTTGGTTTATTTTTTTCGATTTTTCTTTCAAAAATATTAATAAAATCCAAATTTTCTCCCATTTTTTTGAAAATTATTTTTAATTTAATTCTCCATCAATTTTTTTTTTCATTTTTTTACTCTAAATAAAATAAAATAAAATAATAAAAATTATATTTATCCTTTGTTTAATTAAAAAAAAAAAAATTGTGGGTGTTACCATGCAAGAAACTTAATAAGATTAAATAATGACACAAAGGAATTGGAAATTTGGAAGGGGATCATTGGTAAGTCTGGACTTGCTTCTTCATTCATTGCTTGCAGATTTTGAATAGACGAGCAAAGTAATCTATTGAGGGTAAACTAGAATAAATGGCAGGAAGGAAGGAAGTTATCCGAATTTGAAATGTTAATTTTGACTTAGATAGCTTCTTCTCCTTCTTCTTCGTTGTCTTCTTTTTCTTGTTTCTTTTTTTTTTTTAGTAAAAAAAGCAATATAGACTTATCTACGAGGCATCAAGGAGGAGCGTTCTTTAACTTTGGATTGAGTGTTAATTAGTTTACATTCATATAATAATTTTTTTAGTTCGAAAGATCAAGAAGTTTAAGTCAAATGGCAGGGATATGGTAAATACCTCTGGATGATGCATGGGATGTTCAAATCAAATGGGGGTTGCGGCTATGTGAAAAAGCCTGCTTTTCTAACGAAAGTTGGCCCAAATGGTGAAGTTTTTAATCCTAGAGCAAAATTATCTGTGAAAAAAACTTTCAAGGTGAGGATTTAAAACTTAAATTTGTTATTCCTCCCAACTTCTTTTATCTAATATCTTATCTGTTATGTGACAGGTGAAAGTCTTTATGGGAGATGGTTGGCATTTAGATTTTAAAGAGACACACTTTGATGCATACTCTCCTCCAGACTTCTATACTAGGGTAAGTTGACATCCATTGAACAAGATTTTCATTTTCCCCAGAAACTCTCTGGTCTTATTTCAAGATTTCTGCATTTAAAAGCCAAACATCATCCTGCTGCTCAAGAATGAAATTGTTTTAAACACTTGCCGACTTAGTCTTTAATTTGTTTTGCAGATTGGCATAGCAGGTGTACCTGCTGACAAGGTAATGAAGAAAACAAAAGTAGAACTGGATCAGTGGACACCTGTTTGGAACGAAGAGTTCACATTTCCATTGACTGTTCCTGAATTGGCCTTGCTTCAGATTGAAGTCCGTGAGTATGACATGCATGAGGGGAATGATTTTGGTGGCCAAACTTGTTTGCCAGTCTCTGAATTGAAGACAGGAATTCGTGCAGTTCCACTCTATGATCGTAAAGGAGTTATGTTCAAGTCAGTGAGGCTTCTTATGCACTTTGAATTTGTGCCCTAGGAGCAGCTTTTGTGATGTAGGCACACTTCTGATGATTCTTCTTTTTTAATTTAATCAGATGTCCATTTGCTGGCTTATATTCAATCTTGGCTGCTGCTTTTTCTTAAATTCTTTCTACTGTTTTCCTGAGGATACTTTTATATGTGAAAAGAGAGCACGAAGTAGGGATTCGTTTGTCCATGTCTCTTGCCCCCTTGATGTTATTTGCCTTATATAATCACCTAATTGGGAGAATTATTAAGATGGGAATTTTCTGGATGTTTATTTTTTACTAGGAAATTTGAAGCGATCATCGGAAAGCATCTGCCAGATGATGTTGCACTCAACTCCTGGAGTAGAGGTGTGTCAGCTATAGAGCTATTACAGGGTTCTTGATCGTTGAGAGTTCCATGGTGATGAAGTAGATGTTCAAGGTAGAGGCTGATAGAAAATGGAGCAAGTTCTGCCAAGAGGGATCATATATTTAATTTCATAAAAAGTTAATATTCACATTTTCTCCCAATTTATTTCGTGAGATTAATTAATTGACATGATAAACATCAGAAAATATTATTTGTAAGGGTTAAATGAAACAATTGTAGGCGTAGAAAAAGGAAGTTTGTGACTCTTGCTACTTAAATACAAGTTACAATGAATGTCAAGAGGGAGAATAAGATAAAAGAGAATGTTGACATAATATGTTAAAGAATATGTGAGAATGAATGACCTAATTTTGAGTGCCACTTTGAGAAAATGGTCTTAATGTTAGTAAAGGCAACAAGTGGAGAAGACAATTTTAGAGAGGTTGGCTACTCATAGACACCATCTTTAGTATTTACTGTCAAAAGAATTGTCTCCGTGTTGAGGTCTTTCGCATGAAAAATAATAAGTTAAAATCCTATAGAAACATGATTAATATTGTAAAATTAATAGATAGAAATAAAATTTATTTTTATGTCAGGTACGTAAAAAATATTATATAAATTAAAGGTATAAGTATAGAAAAAAATAGTGAGAGAATCGGTAAAGATAATGTAAAGATTTAAATCATCTCTGATCATAATATTATCGGATTCTGCATAATGAGTGTGAAGTAAAAGATTATTTAAGTCTGCAGTGACATGATACAACGTTTCACTATCAAATATCGATGTTAAGGGTGTCGTTGGTTCCAAGAGATGCAAAATGTGCACGTGATAGTTATAGAAAAGTAAAACATAAAATATGTGGACGTGTTAATAAAAAAAAACCAATAATGACTAGATATTTTGAATGATAATATGAGCAACAAAAAGTGTAGAGATATCTTTGTAAGTCATTATAGTTAAAAAAATATAAAAAATTGTAAGGAAAAAGAAAAAAAAATAAAAAAAATATCAGCAGCATAGTAACTGTGATATCATATTAAATTGAAAATAATAACTTAATTTTTATTGAATAAAAGTGAAGTATACACACACGCACAATCTTAATTAACGACAATAAAATATTTTAATTCTAATTAGTAACCTAATTTGATTGATTACCAATCACTTAATTTGCAAGATTTTATTTGATTTATAGTAATTATACAGTTAATTCTTCAATTAATATTAAATTATGAATTATGAAATTGTATAATTTAATTAAGTATGGTGAATTAATGATAAATAACTTTTGCGTGCATAGAACCCAGTGCCTGCGTTTATGGAGCTGGCGAGTTATGTCGCAAGAGGAAGACTTGGACAGCCAAGTGGCGAAAATTTATTATCTTTAACAGATTTATTAATAAGAAAAAAAACAATGAAACGTGCAGAGACTGATTGAAAAATTTGAAAATATGAAGAAAACGTGGAAGCTCATTTTTGCAATGAAGCTTCCTATTTCTTTATTTATTTATTTAAGGGCGGGATCTTTTGACCATTCATGAGCAAGTGCACGACAGATGCCTCATCTGCTATGCTTTTACTTCGACAATATTCATCCATTGCAAGAACCTGCGTGACTTTATCGGAAAAAGTTGCAGAAGCTCATGGGGCGAGAGACAGAGATCGAGGCAGTCAGCTCTAGAACGAGGGGCTTGTTCAGAAGTAAACTCGGAGTGACGGAAGCGGCCCCACCGGAGGACGTGAAGAAGGTGTTTGATAGGTATGCGCAAGGTGAGACCGAGATGAGTGTCGATCAGCTGCGGCGGTTTCTGGTGGAGTTCCTAGAGGAAGGCGGCACAACGCTGGCCGAAGCGAAGAAGATCGTCGAGGCAGTTCTGCTGAGGGGGCAACGCCTAATTCCTAACTTCGCCAGGAAAACCCAGACTAACACTTTCACTCTCGATGACTTCCATCATTACTTGTCCTCTGCCGATCTCAATCCCCCTATTGGTGATCAGGTGGGTACTTGTTCTGTCTTGGGTTTTTCTGTTTGATTTCCGAGAATTATGGAGGAAAAGTAAAATGAAAGGTCGTAGTGGGTTTGTTTAATGTTTATCATGAGCTTTAAATCTGAGGAACTTCGTGATTTTTATGCTAGTAAAGAAATTGGCATGAAAAGATACTATCTGTATTGTTAAATTCTCATCCTCTAGCACCGCATTAGAAAGCTGAGATGGTTAAGCCATATACTCAAACAAGTATACCTGATTAACTACACTTGAGAATTAACGATGGATTTTCCGTTTTTATTGATTGATTGTTATTTGTAGGTTTAGAACTTGAAGAATTGTTGATTTCATAAACAAAGAGGCATATATTATTGCAAAGGGTCCTGATATTCTACATAGGGTGGTAATTTCAGGTCCATCATGATATGACAGCTCCTCTGTCTCACTATTTTATATATACTGGCTACAATTCTTATTTGACTGGAAACCTGCTCAGTGGTGAATGCAGCGACATCCCAATCATAAATGCACTTAAGAGAGGTGTGAGAGTGGTGGAGCTTGATTTATGGCCAGACTCTACCAAGAATGATGTCATTGTTTTTCATGGAAGGTAACTGGTTCATAACTCTACTTGTAAGATGAAATTGAATTAGCTGACCAGTAAGACTGTTGGCTTCTTGAAAAAAACAATTCGGGCAATCTACAATTGTTTAAATGAACGTGGAGGGTGCGATGTTCACAATTTCTTTCATGTTGCTTATGGAACGTGGATCAGTTAATACCTATCACATTGAGAAAAACTCATTTCTTTTATTGATGATTAAGTTTCTATTTTATTGTAAGTAAAAAAGATAGGACCAAGTTGAATTCTCGTCATATGAAGACTGTAATTCAGTTTGATCTCACAGTGGATGCAACTTTTGGCTTACCAGAAATTATGGTGGTTGAATCTTTGTCACTTTAGGCCTTTACCATGAAAATGTTTGTATTTATGAGGGGAACCAGGAGCCCCTCATTCAACTTAATATGGGGAATTTAACTGGGGGGATGACAATTTTTTGTTAGACATTTGGGGTTGCTGATCCCAGTTATTTTAGTTGAAGTCTATCCACCAGCTAATAATCTTGAATCTGGATTGAGACATACCAATCTAAGCTTGCATTTCTTCAGAAGATTTGTATTCTCATAGAAGGACCTGTAATATTTAACAAAGAACAGGGAAGGAAGCATCCATATATGGTTTCTGGTTTCCAGGTTTTCCTCACTCACATTGTTGTTATAGTTGTGTTTTGCAAGATGTTTTAAGTCATTTCCTTCATTTTGTTTTTTTTTCCTCCCGGAAATCTCTTAGATGGTTTTCCAAAGTAAGTACCTCAACAACTCAACTGTCACTCATCAAGTGTTTGAAATCGATTAAAGAGCATGCCTTTTCTGCATCGCCATATCCTGTCATAATTATTCTTGAAGACCATCTCGCCAAAAATCTTCAGGATAAAGTTTGTCAGGTTGTTTGCTTCTTCTATGAATTCTGACCATCCAGGTTTCTTTGACTGTTATTAACTGATTGGAAAATTTTACTTCTGTAGGCATTCCGTGGAATATTTGGAGATATGCTTTTTTCAGGAAAAAATTTACAAGAATTCCCTTCACCAGAAGACCTGAAGCACCGGATTATCATTTTAACTAAACCTTCAACAGAGTACCTCGAAGAAGCTAATATTAATTACCAAAAAGATAACTCTCAGACAGAAAAGGCTTCTGATCATGATGTACAGAGAAAGAAGCCAGAAGCAAGAGCTGATCAGGAGGACAATGAGCAGGTTTGCAAACTAAATGAATTAAATGTCAATTTTGTGGTTATACGTGAACTTATCTGCATATCATATGATTTCACCTCATGCCTTATTCTAATTCCCTACAGGATGGTAGTATCATGGATCTAATCAATCACAATAATGAAAATATCGAGGGCAATGATCCAGAATCAGACTCAGTAGCAGCTTCTGCATACAAGTCTTTGATTGTGGTTAATGCAGGAAAACCCAAGGGTGCCTTGGAAGAGGCACTAAAAGTTGAACCTAATAAAGTTAGATGCCTTAGCCTGGCCGAACAAGCTCTTGAAAAGGCTGTTTCGTCTCATGGTGCACATATCGTGAGGTATATGTTCATGTTTCTTTCTTGTTTGAGGCATATCAGATCATATGTAATTGCTTTGCGCAAGGATCTTGGAAGTGGCGAGGAAGAAAAAGTTCCGGCATTTCCCTAATCTTCTCTTTCTCTATAAAATTCTCTCTCTATCTCACTGAATCCCAACGTCCACTCTCATCCAAACTCTCTATTTTCCCTCTTCCTCTGTATCCCAGCACAAAACCTAGCCCTTGAGTCGGCCGCAATGGCCGGAGCAACCTAGACCCACAAAATGACCTCTTCCCATTAAGAAAAGTTTATCTTTATTGGAAATAAATCCTTCAACATTGCCTATGATGGGAAAAAGCTCGATGGTATCAAAATCAGTGAAAATGGTCGCAACATTAGAGTAACTATTACGATGAGCAAAGAGGAAGTTTCTTGGATTGTGAATGCATTGAGTGATTTTTACTGGAAAAAAGGCAGACGAATGTGCGGGAGAAATTTCAAAGGCCGATTCCATTATCTTTCTTTGGCTCTTGGCTGGAATCGAAGGAGTTGATTCTTTGTCCTCTCAGAACTGAAGGATAACTCTGAGAAAAGAATCTTCATCCCAAATGGCTATGAAGCTAGTGGGTGGTAGCACATCATGAGATCCATATTAGAACTTGCTGAGCTCCCTATGGTTAACCCCTTCAAAAAAAGTGACTCTGCAATAACTACCCGAAGTTTGACTACCTCATCCATGCCTTTGTCATCTCGAAAACCTACCATAGTTATCTTCTGCTGTCCAAAATGCAATCACAACACCCATTTTCCCCTTTTAACAATAGAGACTTCTTATGCGGCAGTTCTTGCTTCACTAACTGAAAACCCTACTCGGGTGAAGAAGAATCGGCCCGACCCGACCCTTAACGACTCGACATTTGAAATTCAAAATCTTTCATCTGTCGGGGGAAAGATTGACAAGGCAGCAAGTGATCCGACCCAATCGATGGCCCAAAAACACTCTAAGCGCGAGACTACAATGCAGAACAAAGGGCCCAAATACACCTGGGCGGAAAAAGAGAAATGGACAAATCAAGCCGGGCCAAGTTATAAATAAATTGTCCAGCCCGATGGGGTTCTCTAAGAAGATCCAGTTGGTCTGGAGGAAAAAGAAAAAGCAATTAAGTCCCACTAAAAGAAAATTCTCAGCCAGATCAAAAGAACTTGAGTTGAGTTCATGCCCTAACTTGGCTCCCAATTGTGTTGTAGTTGAACTTAACGACATGGCTGCTTTAGTTTTCTGCTCCAACACCTGGACTTCTTCTCCCTTGTCTAACAATATGTCGATTTTGGAAGAAGAATAGAGATCAATCACGGGAGCTGAGATGGTTGTTCATAGTCTTGACAAGGAGAACATATTGGATAATGATTCACAGTTCAAAAATGAAAGATCCCTACCGGATATATTACGTGCTTTAAACACGCTTATCAGAGACAATCCAAGGTCTGACTCAAAACTCTTCTCTTATTGGTTTTTTAACAATATTTATTGCATCAGTTAGCATCTCGGTGCTTCTTTTCCTTCTCAAGTAATAGGTGCAAGAGAATTCTTTGTTGAGTGTGCAAATGAAGCGGGAAATGCCAATATTGAACCTCTATTGCTGGAGCACAATAAAAAGAAGCAGAGAAACAGTGGCCCAAGGGAACTCAAAAGACTTCAATATTTCATTAATTACGATGGGAGAAACAAGAGGAACAAAGAGGGCGGGGCTGAAATTCAGTGTAGAAAATGCTATAATTCTCCATTCTGTATAACAGAATGGAATAATCCTAGTAGGTGAGATATCATTCTTCTAAAAGGTTAGATGGCATGGTAACAACAGAAATCTATTATCACCTCTTCCTCACATTCCTGAAAAGATGACTAGTTTTCTTCTATAAATAGCACCTTTTGGTGCCTGAAATTAATAAGAGAAAAAAGGGAGAATTTTCTTCACAAAATCTCCATTCACAAAACTTTTCATGGTATCAGAGCTCTGATCTGATAGCTTCCTTTAGCTGAGCCTGAATTCAAATGGCCACAAACGAGCTCAATTCCTCTCCTTCCGAAGTCTCTTCGAGTTCTTACCTCCCCGCAACTCCGAACCACAGCCTAGTTGAGCAAGCATCATTGTTCATCACGGGGTACAAACTGAACGGATAGAAATACCTTCAATGGTCAACCTCCATCTTATTGTTTATTCACGGCAAGGGCCGTGACGATTACCTCACAGGTGAAACTATCCCTTCCGCAACCAGCGACTCAAGTTTCCACGTCTGGAAAATAGAGAATAGTATGGTAATGTCGAAGCTTATTAACTCAATGGTGCCTGACATTGGTGAGAACTTCATGTTATATGAAACAACAAAGGAAATCTGGGAAGCGGCTCGTGAATTATACTCCAGCAAAGATAACATCTCCGCCATCTTCAAGGTGGAGTCGACTCTCCATGAGCTGCATCAGGGTGAGCTTTTTATTACCCAGTACTTTAATTCACTAACCTGAAGCTGGCAGCAACTGGATTCCTTCGAGGAGTATCAGTGGAGTTGTCCAAATGATGCTCGGATGTTTAGACTCTTTGTTGAGCATAAAAGAATTTTCAAATTCTTGATGGGGCTCAACAAAAGTCTGGATGAGGTTCATGGACAAGTGCTGGGAATGAAACCACTACCTAGTATTCGAGAAGTGTTCGCTAAAATCCGGAGAGAAGAGAGCAGGAGGCGGGTGATGATGGGAGAAGCGTAGCCTACCTACTCTACCGAAAGTGCATTTGCACTTACCACGCGGTCTGAATCCCGTGGAAAGAAGGGAAGACCGTACTGTGATCACTACAGGAGACTCGGCCACGTTCGCGAGAAATACTGGAAGTTGCACGGGAAATCCAATGAGAATAAGGCAGAAAGAACAGAGAGCAATGGAAATCGTCAAGGAAATATTGCTGCTTCCACTGTTGAAGAAAATGTTGTAAAAAGTAGTCCGTTCAATGCTGCACAAATGGAGGTCCTTCAACAATTATTCAAGAAGAATTGTTTATCTACTCAGCCTGTGCGTGCTTCAGTGGCACAAAAAGGTAAAACAACAATTGGTTTGACAGCATGTTTTTCAAAACAGGACACATGGGTGGTTGATTTTGAAGCATCAAACCATATGACGGGTAATGTATCATTATTTCAGAATTACAAAACATCATATGAGAATTTCACAATTAAAATTGCAGACGGGCCAATCTTCAGAGTGGTTGAAACTGGTTCCATTGTTTTAACACCACAGTTGACCCTTCATTCAGTACTTTATGTACCAAAATTGGACTGCAATTTACTATCGATTAGCAAACTTTCTGTTGATCAAAACTGTGTTGCTAAATTTGGTTAAAAAATGTGTGAATTTCAGGACTTGGAATCGGGGAGGACGATTGGTAATGTTAGGATGCACTCAGACTTTTATCTCTTTTGAATAGATCCTTCTGGAAGACAAGCTCAAACAGAAGTATGTACAAACTCTGTTCTTGAGAGTTAATCAAATAATAATCATGATATTATATTATGACATTATCGCTTAGGCTATCCAAACTTTTTGTATCTACAAAAGATGTTTCCCTTGTTGTTCAGAAATAAAAATTCACTTTTGTTTTAATGTGAAATATGTCAAATTTCTAAACATAGTTGAAATATTTTTGCAAGTTTGCTACACAAGCCTTCCAAACCGTTTGCATTAATTCACAGTGATGTTTGGGGACCTTTCAGGATTACCAATATATCCGAAAATAAGTGGTTTGTATCTTTTATTGATGATCACACTAGAATTACTTGGGTCTTTCTAATAAAAGAAAAATCCGAAGTAGAAGCCATTTTCAAAAGATTCAATACTATGATCCAAACCCAGTTTCATACCACTATACAGGTACTTAAAATTGATAATGACTGTAAATATTTTGAAATCATTCTTGGGAAATACTTTGAGGAACATAGCATTATTCACCAAAATTCTTGTGTATACACCTCTCAGCAAAATGGCATAACCGAACAAAAAAACATACATATTCTTAAAGTCGTCAGATCCATTATGTTCATTATCCATGTTCTTAAGTTTTTTTGGAGAGAGACAATACTCACTGCGACTTATTTGATAAACCAAATATCTTCCTGTATTTTGAATTTTCAAACACCCTATGATCTTCTCTATTAGAACTTTCCTGATTCACATACCTTACACTCACTGCCACTTAAAGTTTTCAGGTGTTCTGCTTTCGTTCATAGCCACTCACATCTTCGGGGGAAAACTTGACCCAAGAGCCCTTAAGTGTATCTTTGTTGGATACTCATCGAATAAAAAATGATACAAATGTTTTTTTCCATATACACGACGATTCTATAATACAATGAATGTCAATTTCTTTGATAACTAGACTTTTTATCCCACTATTGATATTCAGGGAGAGCATTCTATTTAGAAATATCAAGTGTGAGATGTTAGCATTCATTCCATCTACCCACAAAATTCACCTCCTCTAGAGTCTGATCCTGAACCTAAACCTGTAGCAAAAATTGAGTGTACACTACCTGCAGTAAATGAACTACGTGTTTATACTAGAAGGAACAAAGTTCGTGGGGAACAAGTACTGAAACCAACCAGGACTTGCCATGAATCCGTACCCACTCCAATAGTTAAGGAATCAACAGGTAATGAGGTACTTGTTACTGACTTTACTATTGATATTGACTCACCTATTGCTGTAAGAAAAGGTACCAGATTATGCACAAAATATTCCATACAAGATTATGTATCATTCGGCAATCTATCTCTGAAACATCTTGCATTTGTGAGCAAAGTTGACAACAGTTCTCCAGAACCAAAGACAGTGCATGAAGCTCTTCAAATACCAGAGTGGAGTACAACTATTCAAGCAGAGATTAGTGCTCTTGAAAAAAATGGGATATGAGAATTGTCTGAGCTACCTCTAGGGAAACGACTAGTTGGATGTAAATGAATATTCACGGCCAAG